TGAAGTCCACCCATCTTAAAGCATGCTGGCTGGGGAGTTCTGGGAGTTAGTCCACCCATCTTAAAGCATGCTGGCTGGGGAATTCTGGGAGTTGCAGTCCACCCCTCTTAAAGTCACCAAGTTTGAAAAACACTGCTTTAGCACCTTCCATGTGGTTGTGATCTTCTAGCCCTCAGCAGCGCGCAACCCCCCTCACCTGCTCTGTGCTGTTTCGAGGCTGTTGCTTTTCGCCCTCTTCCTTTGCTTCCGGGCTTTGCCATCGCAGGCCCAACAGCACCGTCTCGAGGCTACTGGCGAGGGACTCCAGTTGGGCCAGGCGTCCTGTGAATGCCGACTTCTCCGCCTGGAGAGCCACGTTCTGCAAAAGCAAGGCCAAGAGCATTGGGAAGGCTGCTTGCACAGACTCCAGCGGCTAGCGCAAGAGCGTCCGTTCTCCTTTCAAGGGGCAGCGGTCGTTCCTTGCATCCGCCTTCCCGAAACGGATCAATAAATGATTGGCTTTGATGCTTTATGCCGCCCAACTCCCGCCAACTCTGGGAGTCAACCCGCCCAACTTTAGGCCCGCCCTGTTGCCAACTGTGACTGAAGCCCACGAAATCCAGGCCCAAAAATCTGCTCGGTCGGATGGCCGTTCCCTTTTTAAAAAAAACTCTTAATGAGAAAAACTCTCGGAGGTTCAAAAGATGGCCCATTTCCTTCCTTATCCTTCCGTGGACGGGCGGATTTCAGCTGCAGGAAAGACAGTTCGGGGTGCCAGGATGTGAAAGGCTAGGAAAGGGGGTCTGATGCAACATCTCCCCGCAGCGCTGAAACGAAGCAGCTCCGCGCAGTCCTCACCTGATTCTGCACCAGTTGCTCCTTGAGGAGGTGCAGTTCCTCAAACGGCCTAGCGAGGGCGCCCTCGGGCTTCCCTTCGCAACCGCTCCCGGGCGCCGCGTCCCTGCGAATCCACAGGATCCCATCAGCGGAGAGAAGGAGATCCACGGAGCATCCCAGGTTTCTTGGCCCCGGCCACCAACCCTCCCAAAGCCAAGCCTCCCCGCAAGATCCTGGAAGTTGGCAACGCGGGGCTCAGGCTCGGGGACTCCAGGGCAGGAGGGGCCCTCTGGCCTGAAGGTGGGGCGACCTCACCCTGCCCTGGCTTTGCCCAGCTCCCTCTGCTTTTTTCTTTCTTTCTTTCTTTCTTTCTTTCTTTCTTTCTTTCTTTCTTTCTTTCTTTTGCCTCAAGTTTCATTAAAGCAACTTTCTGGTGACTCTGCTGAAATTCTGAATTTCTACATTTCTGCAGCTTCAAAATTCTGGGTTTCTGCAAGAATGCGGGCTGGCTGGGGAATTCTGGGAT